TCCACTTCTGTATTTTCCATCTTACTAGAATACAATTTTTCAAAGTAGGTATAGATGATCTTCTGGATTTCTGCAGGGTCTGTGGCGATTTCCATTTCATCTTTTTCATTTCTAATTGTGTACTTGAGTCTTTTTTTCTCCTTTTTTTTTGTTAAGGTAGGATAAGGTTTTGTCATTTTTATTTAATCTTTAGGAACCAATTCTTCATTAATTCTTTTTATTGATTTTTTAGTCTCCATTTTGTTAAGTTTTGCTCTGATCTTTATAATTTCCTCCCTTGTATGAGCTTTTGGCTTAGCCTGCTTTTTTTCTAGAAGTTTGAGGTTTATCATTAAGCTTTTTATATGCACTTGCTCTTTTTTCTGATATGGGCATTTATAGCTATAAATCTCCCTCTTAGGACTGATTTCATTGATTCCTGTAAATTCCAGTATGCTGTACTGTCATCATTCAGCTGTAAAAACTGTTTTAATTCTTTAATTTCATCTGTGACCCACTGGGTGTTCAGGAGAGTGCTATTTAATTTTCATGTGTTTATGAAGTTCTTGCAGTTTCTTTTGCCATAGATTTACAATTTCATTGCACTATGGCCTGACAATATGCATGGGGCGATTTCAATCCCTATGAATTTATTTAAGCATGTTCTGTAAGTTAGTAGGCAGTCAGTTTTAGAGAATGCCCAGTGTGCAGCTAAGAATGTGTATTCTGATGTTGAGGGTGAACACTCTGTAGACATCTACTAAGTCCATTTGTTCAAATTTTGGTTCAGTTCTGGTATTTCATTGTTGATTTTTTGTCTAGTTGATCTGTTGTCTTGTGACAGTGTGGTATTGAGACCACCCAATACAATTGTATTAGGGCTTATCTGATTTTTCTTTTTTTTCTTTTGAAAGTAGTAAAATACAACAGAACAAGACAGAACAAAGCCAATTGAGACATGGTAGTGAAATTGACACAGAACTTCACAGTAGGTTATCAGGATAACAGTAATAGGTATCACAATATATCTCGTATCTCGTTATCTTCACAATAGTTGTTCTTTCAATCACAGATAGCAAAATAAAATGAAATACAGAACATTGTAGAACTTATCAAAACAGAATATTGAATAGAGCAGTACCATTAATCAGAATAAAGCAAAACAGTAGTAAAAATATTTGCCTTCCAAGAGATGGTAGAAGGAAATCCCCCTTATTTGCTATTTTGCATATGGTCAATCTCCCAAGAGATGCTCATATCTCTGATTCACATTTGCTAACAGGGGGTAGGGGAAGTGGGATGTTTGACTCTCAGCCTATGCACCGGTAGGCTCACTATTGCTTAGCAGGAGGCAGGCTGGTTGCTTGGTTTCCCAGTGCCCTAAGTTCCAACATGGTGTGGATCTTAAGACACTAGTGGTTCTTCCCTTGGAGGGGCCATAGCCTGCCACAGCACAGCCGCTTTCCAGGGAGGCAAGCTCGTTGCTTGGTTTTCCAGCATCCTCAGGCTTCTGACTTTCCATGCCCTTTAATATTTGTTTTATATAGTTGGATGCATTGGTATTATTGCATATATATTTATGATTATCTCTTCCTCTTAAGATTGTTGCTTTACAAGAATGTATTGACCTTCTTTATCTCTCTTAATGTCTTGGCTTGACATTCACTTTGTCTGCAAATAGAATAGCTACTCTTCCTTTTTTGGGAGTTCATATCTCATGGAGTAGTTTAGTTTTCCATCCTTTGACTTTCACTCTATGAACTTTTGAATTAAATTTTCTTCTGTGCAGCATATTGTTTGATCTTGCTTCTTAAGTCTATCTGCCAATTTGTGTCTCTTGATTGAATTGAGATCATTAACATTGATGGTTATAACTGGTATGTTTTGAGATCCTTGTCATTGGCTTCCCCTCTTACTCTTTTCTCATCTAGCAGCTGCTGGATTGATTTCTCATGTTCCCTTGCTATTTTTGAGAAATCTTTCTTTTCATGATCACTAACTGCAAACCTGTCTTCTGTATCTGAGATCTTGTCCTCACATTGGCTTAATCTGCTTCAAATACTTTCAATGGAATTTTTGTTCTGGATAGCTGCTTGAAATCTGCCTTAGGGATTGCATTTGTTTCCTATGCTGAGTATTCATGGCTTTCCTAATTTTAAGCTCATCTAATTTTTTTGTATCTGCTCTAGTGTTACTAAGCATGGTCTTAATTTTGGACACCATTTCTGCAGTTATCTGAGAGTCTATTTCTGATTTGATTTTTCAAGAGCATCGATTTTTTTCAATTGCTTTGTTGTTAACACTTCAGAGAGGCCATGAGGGAGGCTTTTGGATTGTCTCATCTCATTGGCCCCTGACTTTGCCTTTGGTGAACTCGATGTCTGGGATTGCATCTTAAGTGTCTTTTCTTTTTCTTTTTTTTGTTTAATTCCTGGGATGATGTTTGTAAATTGCCTGTGGTGGGTTGCTTTATTGCTAGTATTTAGGCTCCTCAGGTAATGACTACTTCTCCAAGGTATCTTCCAGGTAGAGCTGGTTTTTGGGTTTTGAGTCTGTTGCAAAATCCTATCTCTTCAATTTGTTGGAGATGAGAAGCTGCTGCTTGTTTGGCCCTGTCCTTTGTTCGTTGGCAATGTACCACACTATTTTCTGTGACCCTTAGTCAATCTCAGTCATGAAATACCAGGTTGAACAGTTGTTTAGAGCAATTATGTCACTTTTGGCTACTGTGGTACCAACACAATTGAACACTGCCTAGAAAATGACAAAATGAGCTAACCATTAATTTGACGGTTTCAAATGCATGAACTAGATTTGCGGTTTCATAACAAAAGGTAAAACAAACCAGAAAATTATATGCTGTATACAAGTCCTTACTGTCAATTCTGCCCTCAGGCTAGAATTTAAAATGGGGTAAGAGTCCCCCATAGAGAAGTGGAAAAAGAGGAAGAGATTAGAAGTAAGGCTGGAAGATGAAGGGGGATCATGCTAACTTTGGGAAACTGGTACAGAGTACTGGAGGGGAAGAGAGAATGAAGAAGTAAAAAGAACAGAACTACAACCACAGAGAGGCTAGAGACTACGTTCAACTTACATAAAAATAGGATCAAACAATGAAGGAGAAAAAACAAAACAAAGGAAAAAAAAAGAGAGAAGATAAAAGCCCATTTCTAGGTTGTCCAAGTTTGTTTCTGCTCCATTGGCAGACAACCTGTAGAGACAGTCTCAATCTGTGCTGATCTATCCAAGCCAGCAGTAGCTGTTTGGTGGGCTACTGCATAAGCTCTGCAAACTTGCACTTTCTGGCCGGGACCAGTTCCATTTGGCGCACTGCCTTCTGAGCACCTTCCATGGGTCTGAGTCCTGCTGGAAGCCATTTGACGAGCCAGTCGCAGTTCTGAGTTCTGATCTCAGCAGAGCCCAGCTCCAAGATGGCTCCAGGCCAACTGCTCTTTCCTGTGGGAAGACGGAACCCTCTGCGTTCACCTTCAGCCAGTGCAGTTCTTCACGTCCACTGCTCCCCTACAATGCAGCCTCTCTCTATGGTCACCAGCTACCAGTGTCCCTGCAGGTTTGAACCACTCCTCTTTGCAGTGTGTTCTGTCTCAGGGAAAAGGTACCACCAGCCAGCTCCTTCTTTGTTGAAGTTTCTCTCTTCACTCTCCCCGCAGGCTTCAATCCATGTATCAGATTATTTCTGGTCCAGGGGATGCACTTCCCTCCTCTATCTTCCTCACATTGTTATATTCCAGTGTCTAGATGGCGACTCTCTGGGGTTTTTCTCTTGCTACTTATTGCTCTGCTATCTTAGCTGAGTTTTTTTTGTTTTTGTGTAAGAAGGAAGATAGGAGAACTCTTAAGGTAGATTATTTTAAAGTGTTTTGGAGTTTTCCTATAGCTTGAAAATAAAATACTTATTGCTACTGATTCCCTTAAATATGTGTATATATACATTTATTTATTTAGGTACTGGGGAACTCACAACCTTGTGCTTGCCAGGCAGGTGCTGTGCCACTGAGCTGTATCCCCAGTCCAACATATGTATATTTAAATAGATATAAACAGATATAACAAAAGAATATAGTCTATTTGCATAAAAACTATGTGACTAGAACATGACACACTAAAAGGAAGACTTTTCAGACTGAATTAGTAAAAGTGGTTAACAGACCGCATTGACTTAATCTACATGAGTATTACAAATTTGAAAACTAGAGAGTAATAATCTTCTCAAGTTTCTTTCCATTTCATATAGGTAGTTTTGCTTGGATGGTACAAAAATCAGTTATTTAATCTTACTGTATTAGGCAAGGTATGGGAATGGGGAAAGAAAAATAAAGGAAAATGGGTAAATTTAGTCAACTGATTTGACTGTTCCAAATGAACTTCAACAAAGATTATCTGAAGCACTAAAAACATCTTATTAATGTATTACATAAAGCTCTGGCATGTTCAAAATAAACCCTTTAATAATAAGGCAGACATTTATATGCAATTTTACAATATGTTACTTGTAAGGGCTCAACAAAGCAGACACAAATGCTACTTCAAGGTATTACTTTGGGCATAAATGTCATTGTAATCAGGAAGGAAACTTTCCAGAGTTGACATACTTTCTGGGGCAGATGTCAGTGACTCCAGCTACTAATAAAGCTCTTGGCTCTCTGGAAATCAGGAGTGGCCACATGACTAGTTCTAAATACAGAGTTGTGGCTGACTTGACATGTGCCCCCGTTGGCTACAGTGAACGTGAGACTTGCTGGGGTCCTGTCCCTTGATAGCAGTGACCACAAATGTTGCATCAGCATGTCCCTGGATGTGGACGATAGGAGCAGGGTCTCCTACAAATATGGGATGGGCCTGGAGCTTAAGTGAAGAGTGACCTTGTTCATGAAGCCACTGAAGTTTTAATGTTGCTGCCACCATACAATCTAGGCTGCCATGCCTAATATCTTTCTTGCCTGGAGAAATACAAGAGTCCATATCATGAGTTTTAAAAAAGATACCAAAATGAAATCTGCTGGGTGGCACAGTAAAATTTATTTGTCTTTATGACTTCCACATAGTAATTAAATACATAAAAGAACAAACACTGTCAAGATGGCCATATGGAAAAAACTGGTCCCAGTTCAGTTATGCAAATGTTCAAGTTTAGAAATAGATTTTTTAATGGTTTTAGTATTTTTCAGTCCCAAGGTTTGCACAGTTCAGTAGAAATATTTTTGCCATTTTTAATCCTCAGGCACATGATGTTTACCAACTCTCAGGAAATAAATGAAATCAACACAAAGCCCTGTAATAGTAGAGGAAAATTTCACAGAAATAAATTTGATGAGCTCACTGCAAGTTTAATTCAGTTTAGCTAAAAGATCTACATATGAAGCATGAAACAGTATTAACAAATTATATCTGTATTAAGGTTTCATTTCTTTTAAAATATTTATCACACTTTTTTTGGTGCAAGGATTCCATTGATTTCTTTGGTTTTAAACATTATAGCTCTGTTTGACCTAAATATATATAGTTCTATTTGTAGCAAATGTCAACAATCAAAATTTCAAAAGGTAAAAATGGAATTATTGCTTCAATACAAAAAACGTACAGCCCATTTGGGTGTTATTGCTATTACTGCTTTTCTTCTATTAGAAAACTATCCTGGAAATTGAGGAATATACCCGGAGCTTGAAGTATAATTTGGTTGTACATTATTATCCATTAATATGTTTCTACCTTCACCAAAGCTATCCAATTTTGTGTTTTAAAAAACAAAACAAAGTAAAATAGCATAAATAAATAAGTCTACCTAAGGGAGTACAATAAATAGGCTTCCAGATAGGAATAAAGAATATTGTGACATAAAGCCCATCAGTGCTGTACAATTAAACAATAGCTTTGGATTTTCAAGGTCTCTAAATATAGTTTTCATTTTAGAATGGTTTTCAGCTGACAAAAAAGAAGACATTTCTATTGTCCTCAATTAAAAATGAAAATATAGTGGATATAAATGTAAATTTTGCCTTTTGGAAATTTACATAGTATGTATCATCATTAAGTTTTTGATCTTTGCCTAGATGCGGGGTATAAATGTTAGGGGTTTAAAAAATTCTAATATTCCTTCAATTCTTAGTGGTTTCTTGGTCTCCAGAGTTAAGTAGTAAGAGGTGAAATCAGAATCAAAAGTTCTGCTGTCTTCTCTTCTTCGCATCCATCGCATCCAGAATGGGCTGTCTTTTCGCAGTGTATCTTTGTCGAAGCTCTTCTATTTCACGTTCCATCATGGGGTCCAGTGCTTTTAATCGCATCTGTAGTTCTTCTAAACTTAGATTTTTTAACTATATAGACAGAGACAAAGACATTAGTATAGCACAATATCTACAATACATTAAAGTCAAACAAATTTTAACATTAAGATGCCAACAAAATTCTTTGTATCACTTTAGAAAGAAGGTCAACAATTAAAATGGGAATATCTTCCCTGAAGAAAAACAGCCATAGTTTGCAAGAACTTCAAGTAATTTGTAAAGAATTATCATAATGTCTACTTTTAGGAAAGAGAAAATAAAAGAAAAAGCTGATGAAATATATCCCTGTTAAAAAATAAAAAAGCACAAAGACAGCACTATCACTGTTGACAAGCAGCTGTTCAGGCTGCTCCTGGGATGGAAATTCCAATCTCTCCCATCCTAGCCAGTTACAGAGTGCTACAACAGTCATGGCCACAGGGTACATCTGAGAGCTGAGGCCAGCCAAGATTAACAGTTTTATCCTCCACTTAACTGAAAGTTTACTTTTTAAGCATCGAGACTGAAAACTGCATTGTTAGGAATATTTTGCTCCAAGTATTTTATATCTCAAATCTGATACAAACTGTGTTGTGTAAATTCAGATGTGGACTTGCCAATTTGAAAATGAAGTACCTCTGAAATCTTCACTATATACATTAGGTTGGCTTTAGGAGACAACAGTGGCACATCCTTTACTGGTTTTCTGTGTAACAGCAGGAGAGACACCTCATGTCACATGTAAGGGGGATAAAATCTGCTCTGCTATATAATGGGATCTATGGCATCCTGAGATTTACTGTATTTATAATGTCAAAGCAATAAGATAATGCATTATTTCTGAGACACATTTTGTAGTACTGGGGGGCACAGGATGTTCTGTAATATGTAACCTAATACATTGAACTTTTCTTTCATTAACATTAAAAAAACTAAAACACTGTCTCCTTTAAAAACTAAGTATTATAGGGACAGTGGTAGGCAGGTGGTTTAAAAAAGCCTACTAAACCACAATGACTTAGAGCACACTAGTGTCATATATGCAGTATCTTGGTGGGTATAATAAAGAATGTAAAACACTATTCCCTTGTCCTTCAGAAACCTAGTAAGTCAATTGTTTCTGAAAGACTGACACAGAACCCCACACAGCAAAGTCCCACTGAGTGTGGTACAGATCACAGTGAGAAGTACGTAAGTCCATGAATAAGCTTTTGAGTGCAAATTCTGAAGGTTCATGTGTGCATTTTCCAGGGATTGGGGTCTATTATTTGTCTGAATAAAGTTCCCCCTAAACAAAGGAGCCTGTGGTAAATTCAGTGGAACCTGCGGAGTGAACTGGATTCCCTTTGGGAGTAGAGGCTAGTCCTCGAAAGGGAGGGTGTCTCAGAGCAGTGCATGTTAAGTGAATAACCATAAACACTAGGGAGAAAGGGGTCAGAGGAGGACTCCATGGTAGGACTACAGAAAGTAAGAACAGGCCCAGTGGGGCCTGGGACCCAGGCAACACAGGTTCAGACTTCAGGAAGCCATGATCAATTGCGGGGCAGGCCAATTATGTAAGAGCAATCAGACTTGGTTTTAAATGATAAAAAGCTCATCTTCTCTTTTAAGATAACTATCTTTGGCTATTTTATGAGTCAAGCCATAAAACATTCTCCTTACTTATAATTACCCAAAATAGCACTTCTCAATTGATCCTCCAGTTTACTCACCACACCTGGCCCTAAGTGACTCCTGTTTCCCCAAATCAAATCCACTCTCAGCTGAAAATATTCTGAGGGTACTGAAAATAATGAGTCCCTGCCTCTGAAGGAAATTCCGAAGGAGTTTCAAAGACGTCTTACGGATGGCAGCATTACAGAAGAGGGCATGGGCTCCATGGTGAGTACTCACAACGTGAGTACCACTTGTTTTGGGCCACAAGCAATTCTGGTATGTGCAATATAAGCCACTATTCTTTAGGCATATGTCACAAAAGTATCTAGCTTTTTGTATTATGCTATAAGCACATTTATTAATTCAGTGTTGTTATATATTTTCTTTGATTTTTAATTCAAGTATTAATTATCCATCTGTTTAAGTCACTGTGGGAAAAAGATCAAGCTGTGAGGAAACTTTGGTACTTTCTGAACTGTATGAACAAGTAATATGGAGTTGAAAGGCTAATGCAGACACAAACCACATTTCCCTGGGAGAGAAGTTACCCACCCCCGCCACCACACACACATCTACAAAGGATCCAATTCCACTTCAGTGCCCTCTGTTTCACTTCATGTTAACCAGAAGATGTATTTTCTTCTTTTAATAGATTTTTGTATTTTCAATATGACCTCATTAATCAATCCATTGACAAATTCATAGCTGAGCACACTGCAGACACAGGGCCTGACGCAGGTCCCTGGAGAGGCCCTGAAGGGTATATCCTGTTTCAAGCCCCTTCTCTCTCTCTCTCGGCCTTGCTCTCTGCGTCTTGGCTGCCATGAGGTAAACAGTTTTCCTCTGCCCCACATTCACTCCATGACGAGGCCTCACTACAGGCCTAAAAGTTAAGGAGGCAGCTTACTATGGACTGAATCTCTGAAACCAAGAGCCAAAAGACCCATTTCCTCTTTTAAATGATTTATGTTGGGTTATTTGTTTTGTCCCAGCATTGGAATGGTGACTAATACAGCACTTAAATTCTAGTTAGGGTTTTTTCTTCCTTCATTAAAACGTAACAGATTTTCTTAGTTTTAAAGTAGAAAAGAGAAGATAAAAGAATGGAGGAAAGTGAAACATGCTAACTGCTTTCTGTCAGAGGGCAGATTTTTTATTCTGAAAGTTCACACTAAGTAGTTATCTAATATAAAACTTTACTGGAGACTTGGTCATGTTTCCAAGTAAGTAATTCAAATAGAAGTCTACAGTGACTGAATTTAAAATTGTTAATCTAGCACTGTCAGAGAGTTCAAAGTGTGAAGTCACAAGTGAGCATGTTACTGAGAAATCCCCAGGGAATTCAACCTAAACTAAAAGGGAAATGTTTTTAAAGTATTCAGCTATAAAGGCCCTGGTGAACTGGAAAGCATTTTTATAGAGCAATCTCTTGAAGCGGGAAAAACAGCAGAAGCTCAGCAACAAAAGGCAGAATTGCTATTCTCGTTAAGCATTAAGTCAACTGGTAGGCCAAGATCTCCTGGTTTGGTTTTTTTTTTTTTCTTTAAACGAAGGCCTTTAAAGAAAAAGTGCAAATGATAAGTAGATGGATGGGTATACACTTGATCATAAGTTAAATGAAAAGGTCAAAATTATTTTTCAGTATGAACTTAACATTTTTTGAAAATTGCTAATTTGCTGTATGAGTGACAGACTAATAAGCAACTAACTCATTTTATTAATGATAGCCCTGGACTACCACAGTTCATCCAAGAGCTTAGATAACAGATCAATATCTAAAAATATTGCATTTCTTAGCACTTCTAATAAGAAGAAAGAAAAGAAAACCCAAGTAAAATACATGTAAGTTAGTAATTCATTTCCTCTCACATAAAACAGCAGCAGAAATAACTCAGTGATACAAAACAGCAGTAAAAATAACTCCAGGATGTAAGAAGATGAAAAATAAGATTAAATCAATCCGCTGATAATTTTGACAGTTCAAATCTTTAATAATTAGATTTCTGAACTCCATGAGAAGTGCTAAAAGGTTCCTTACGAATGATCAATAAGAACTGTTAGTAAAAGTACAACTTCCTTTACGTGTACACATCCAGTCTACCATAAAAACCTAAAATAGTATATTCAAGTGATAAAATACTACTTTCTAAAATAGTTTTACTATATCCATGGGAAAACCTTAGGCAGCTTGTGTATTTACTTATTTAATTAGTGTTACTGGGAATTGAATCCAGGGCCTTCATAGTAAGCCACATATGGTTGGTATATTTTTTTTTTCAATTTTAACGACAGGTTTTTGCTAGGTTACTAAGTTGTCCACAATAGGCTGGAACAACTTGAGAGCCCCCTGTCCAGAATACTGGGATTACAGATGTATATCACCACACCTGGATGAAATCCTTTGTATTTTTATATTGTTTTGTTTTGTAAAAAATAGTCCTAATTGTAGCAGATTTTTAAAAATTTCAATCTCAAAAATAGCAAAGACAGAACTATAAAGTTAAAATGTATAAATACATTTCAAGACTAACTGGGCCTACAAGTTTCTAGAATAATCAGTATGTAAAATAAATGAGACACTATCACAATGAAGCACATGGTTTTAGATGTTAAACTTAACACATTTAGTCAAACAGTCAATCAAGAGAATCCTGTACAAGGTTTGCTATGTTTACTGGGAAAACAAACTCTTCCTAGCAACTGTTTAAATAAATCTCACAGATGCTACAGATCTTATTAGTGGCCTGTGATTAAAAAAATATGGATTGCTAGTACTATATCCTGACTCATCTATTTTCCCATCTGCTAGCAATTCTAACAATATGAACTATCAACAGAATGGCTAACAACAATAATTTTCTATGGCAATTTTGATGCTGAATTGCCTATAGCATTTTGTAAGATTTACCAGTGCGTGCCTCAGACTGTTTTGAGTTGTTTGTGGCCTGCAGCATCATACTCCCTCTCCTCTTAATATTCCATTCTAACTCAAAGTTTCACTTTGTTGAACAGAATCTGGTCTGGTTTTAGAAAACACTGTTCATGGCGGCTGCCACACTCATTTTACTAAGAGCAGGAAACACGCCCAGTACTATCAGAACTGAGGCAACTGCACTGATCATTTGAGATCTATACATAAACAGGTAAGGGCTTTCTGCCAACAAGGTCGAGCAACAGGGGTAGCAGGTAGTACACTTTAGGCTAAAAAGAAAGTATTATATCAACTCATTTTCCCGGCTTAAATTCTGGCACTGAGAAGCATGTAAAAAAGGAAATGCTATGAAGCCTGTTTGAAGGCAAGTCTGCATAGCTACTTAAAACATGCATTTATAAGAATCATTAAAACATGCACTTGTAAGAATCATACTGGTAATTTTAGGCAATCAACACTAGAA